GTAGTGTAGTGTAATGTAATGTAATGTAATGTAATGTATGTATGTATGTATGTATGTAATAAATATAAATATAATTAAAAATATAAATATGGATATAAATATAGATAGAAATACAAATACAAATACAAAGACAAATATAAATATAAATATAAATGCAAATACAAATATAAATATAAATATACATTTAAAACCACAGAAATTGGGGGTAGATCCCCTGAAGTTTCGTCCAATTTCGTCCTTACGGCCATAAAGGCCATTGGGCATTGAAAAAAACTCAGGTCTTAGAACACATGGAGTGGCACTATCTTCGCAGCGTCCTGCCGAGCATCAGCCTCGGGCAGCTCGGCTGATATACCCCAACAGATGTGTCAGTTGTGACATATGTGTATATATATATATATGTATATATATATGGATGTATGTATATATATATATATGTATATATACATATATGTATACATGTATATATGTATATATATATATGTATATATGTATACGGGTATATATATGCATATATATATGCATATATATATATATGTATGCATATATATATATGTATGAATATATATATATATATGCACATATATATATGTATACATATATATATATATGTATGCATATATATATATGCTACCCCCCCCAAGACCTACATTTTTTGTATTAGGTATGTCCTTGGCTGCTTTGTCTTTCTTCTCATCTTCTCACCTATTGCAACACTGCATCAGGAAAGTAGCTTGCATCCAGAATGCATTCTTCCCAAGATCTAAGATCCAAGATCTAAGAATTGCGGAGAAGTCTTGTGCAAATCTTGGGTTTGGAATTTGCCAGAATACTCTTACCAATCCCTATGAAAATTCTTTAGGAATCCAAGATTTTGATCATGCATTCTTCCCAAGATCTAAGATCCAAGATCTAAGAATTGCGGAGAAGTCTTGTGCAAATCTTGGGTTTGGAATTTGCCAGAATACTCTTACTAGTCCCTATGAAACTTCTTTAGAAATCCAAGATTTTGATCAAAGTCTTGTGGGAAACTTGGATCTTGGATTTTGAATCTTGCAAAGAATGCATTCAGAATGCATTCTTTCGGCAGGATTCAAGATTCAAGATTTCTAGGGACTCTTTGGAGCAAATCTTGAATCCACCCCCTGGATTCAAGATTCAAGATTCAAGATTCCTGAGGACTCTTTCCAGCAAATCTTGAATCCAGGATTCAAGATTCAAGATTCAAGATTTCTGGGGACTCTTTGGGGCAAATCTTGAATCCAGGATTCAAGATTCAAGATTTCTGGGGACTCTTTGGGGCAAATCTTGAATCCAGGATTCAAGATTCAAGATTCAAGATTCCTGAGGACTCTTTCCAGCAAATCTTGAATCCAGGATTCAAGATTCAAGATTTCTGGGGACTCTTTGGGGCAAATCTTGAATCCAGGATTCAAGATTCAAGATTCAAGATTCCTGAGGACTCTTTCCAGCAAATCTTGAATCCCGGATTCAAGATTTGCCCCAAAGAGTCCCCAGAAATCTTGAATCTTGAATCTTGAATCCTGGATTCAAGATTTGCTGGAAAGAGTCCCCAGGAATCTTGAATCTTGAATCCGGATTCAAGATTTGCCCCAAAGAGTCCCCAGAAATCTTGAATCTTGAATCCTGGATTCAAGATTTGCCCCAAAGAGTCCCCAGAAATCTTGAATCTTGAATCTTGAATCCGGATTCAAGATTTGCCCCAAAGAGCCCCCAGAAATCTTGAATCTTGAATCTTGAATCCGGATTCAAGATTTGCCCCAAAGAGTCCCCAGAAATCTTGAATCTTGAATCTTGAATCCAGGGGGTGGATTCAAGATTTGCTCCAAAGAGTCCTCAGAAATCTTGAATCTTGAATCTTGAATCCTGCCGAAAGAATGCATTCTGAATGCATTCTTTGCAAGATTCAAGATCCAAGATCCAAGATTCCCACAAGGGTTGGATTCGAGGCTTGAATCCTCTATGTATATATATATATATATGTATATATACACTATATAACATCCCCCAAATCCCGGAATCCAAAATTACATACCAAAAATAGCAAATTTTACTGTAAATACCAGTACTTTTGTGAAATTGGTAGGTCTTGGGGGGGGGGTACCATATATATATATATATATATATGCACATATATATATATATATGTATACATATGACCTTTTTAATGAGGAAAATCAGCAATTCTAAACATATGTGATGGCCTTTTTCATCTTTGTGAATGAGGAAAATCAACAATTCTAAACATTCCAAACCGCGGGAAAAAACACATGACAAAAGTCAACCCTGGATTAATAACCCCCAAACGGTTGTTTAATTGGTGGGACCATTGAAGTATCCGACTAGAAACCTACTTGGGGAGTACCCATGTTTTTGCAGCCACAGGTATACTCCGCTTCTTCATCAACTGCTTCCCAAACTCCGCAGATACTGCGGTTGGTGACGATGACCATGGCATTCTATGGTGGCTATGCAGAAAAACTGCTGGCAAGATGGGGAGAACTGAGACATTCGATATCATAGGAATTTCACTTTTCAGCTCTTCAGCCTTTTTTCTTTTCCATTTCTTTTCCATGATGCTAACCACTTTGCACACTTCCCATTATGGCAGTATGGCTGGTTTCGAGTGCCAGATGTGCCGTGCACGGTTGCGACTTGGACAAAGCTTCCAAGGCGTTTTCAGCGCGAAGAGTTTGGGCAAACCCGTTTTTTTTTTGAAAAGCGGAGGTGGTCTCAACTTCAGGTGTTTTTCTGTGGTACTTTTTCATGTTTATCTATTGGAGAAACGGTCTTGTGAAGGTCTTGGGAATATCTGGAAACATCTGGAAACATCTGGAATCATGGTGACATCTTGTGCAGGTGCCTGTGCGCCGCCGGAGTGAGGTGCGCTGCATGGGGAGCCAAGGAGCCAGAGTTTCTACATGAAAGCAGATACCCTCTGGTAAACTAACATAACTATGGAAAATCACAATTTTCAATGGGTAAATCCACTATAAATGGTCATTTTCAATAGCTATGTTAAATTACCAGAGGGTAAAATGAAGATTCTTAAGATTGTATAAGATTGTACACGATATTTTAAGTGCAATTTGCCTTCCTTTGGACCATTTTGGACCATTTTGGCCCTGTGGGATGTTAAAACTGGCTTTTGTCAGGCGCCAGTGAAATATTTTCCAGAGATGATGTGGCCAGCTATTGAAGGAGTTAACAATTCAACGATAGCAATGGATATATATATATACAGTATACTATTTTGCTGTAACGATGCAAGCTCATTTCTGTACACATTCCGGGTCCGAACCCAGAGATAGGCCCCACGTATATTTCCCATATCCATAATACACCAAAACATAACATGATTTATAACATCACATCACATTACGTCACACTACATCACATTACCACAACATTCCATTACATTGCAGAACATCACAATACATCACATCACGTCACATTGCGCCACATTACAGAACATCGCATTACATCACATTACGTCACATTGCATCACATTGCATCACATTGCATCATATCACATTACGTCACATTGCATCACATTACATCACATCACATTACATGACATTACGTCACATTGCATCACATTCCACAACATCATATCACGTCACATTGCATCACATTGCATCACATTGCATCATATCACATTACGTCACATTGCATCACATTACAGAACATCACATTACATCACATCGAGTCACATTGCATCACATTACAGAACATCACAATGCATCACATTACATAACATCACCTTACATCACATACAAATCATAACTGAATCATAACATAACATATTATAACATAATATAACATAACATAACCTCACTTAAACCATCACTTATAGCATCACTTGTAACATCACTTATAACATTACATACCATTGCATAGCATTACACGGAGACATGGGGGTCAGCGTTTCGGCGCCAGGCATTGGCGTCTGCGGGCAGAGTTCTCGCAGGATGAAGTTTTCGGCGAGGCGAGCGCAGTTGGTCGCTGTGTGATCGGAATATAACTGATGAATGGTTGATGATTAGGGGATTGTACACTTTTACTAGCATCTATTTGGGGATTAGGGGATTGTAATGGATTGTACATCAAAAATGATTAGGGGATATATGATGATGGGGGATGATCATCATCTATTTGGGAATCATGCTCGGCATGAACATGACCGTTAAAAGATATTTGAGGTCCGGTACCACTCCTGCGGAGAATCACCCCATTGCTTTGCAGAAAGTATGCAGAGGTATGTTGGTCTAGAGGGACTGTAAGAATTGATTTCTATCGGGTCTTCTGCCTAGTAAAACTTGACATCCACGTATAGAGGTGTCTGACCAGCGCCCGAAATCGACTTCTGCAGCGTGCAAGGCGGTACATCTGAAATATTGCAGAATTCCAGGTTTCACCTTCTGTTGATTCTAAACACCATTGGATCGATAGGAGCTCGCGCAGAAAAATATCGGGGTGCTGGTGCTGGATCTGGGTGTTTTTTTTTGTCACCAGATTTTTTGGCCCCCTTTGGTTCAGTCACCTGGTTTTGCTCTCGATCTTTTTTTGTGGATTTATCCATTGGGAAATCCACTTGATCCGATGCTAATAGGTTAGGTAGAACCGATGGTCAGCAGCGAGTCGCGGTGGGGAAAACGGCAACGAAATGCCGATGTTTTCAGATTTTTCAGCATCAGCTGATGGCCGACTCAGCAGCCAAGACCCTGAGCCAAGAATGAAGCCAAGACTGCCAGGTGGCCATTGGGCCATTGAGATTTCAGCACAGCAAAAAACAAGTGTCAGGTTCTGGCAAGTGCCCAGTTACATTGATGGCCCACTGGGTTTCAGATTAGCCAAGTTGAGTGCCAGAAAATTCTGGTGATTGGGGGGACTTATAACCCCATCAAAATACAAAAGTTCATTTTATGGTCGAATCTTCTTGACATTTAATGGCCCATCACATCCAAGCCGTTCCAGTTTTAACATAGAACACGGGCCGTTCCATTGATGCTTCCCCGCTCCCTGCGAGCACTGGGTTCTGCCACTGCAGCGACTGCAAGCCTTTGGGGCTTTTCAATGGATCGGCGGCAAGGTTGGAGGGCTGGGGGGTTGGAGGGCTGCTGTGAAAGGAAACAGGAACCATGGTTTCTTGAGTTTTTTTATTGCCAGTGTTCTTTGAAAGATCCTTGGAAAGGAAAAACACATACGTGGGCTCTCTGAGACCCATGAAACGAGTGTGCTTCAAAGAATCATAAATCTTGTGCATGGCCATCAGTTGATAGTGAAGGTAATCAGGACATTCCCTTCTTCGGTTGTTGCTGCCAGGGGCTAGGTACAAAAATTATCAATATATATATATATATACACATACAATATATACATACATATATATATATATACACATACAATATATATATATATACAATATATTATACTGTATATATATATATATTGAAATTATTATTATTATTGTTATTGTTATTATTATTATGATGATTATGATTATTATTATTATTATATTATATATAATTATATCTATTATATATATACACATTATAATATACATACATTATATATATATTCACATATTATATATGTGATATGTTATATATATATGTATTATGTATAGTATCTTTGATCGAGGTGCAACATGGATCCAGTGAGGCAATTCCACAACTGGCGGCTACTTTGTTGCGAGTCCTGTTCCTGCTGGGCCTTCCAAAGTGGCAATCTGCTCAGTTGGGAACTGCGGGACATCCCCCGTCAGGGATCTCCGGATCGGATCAGGGTCGATTGATAAACCATTCCACAAGATCCTGGGGTGTGTTCAGCCCTTCTTTTGCGTAAACATTGTAGAAGTTATTATGGTTAATAATGGTTAATAAAGGTTAATGGTTAATGATGGTTAATGATGGTTAATAACATTTTAAAAGTTGTATACTTATACTTCGATGCCAAAAACACTCTTTGGGTTCAAGGATCATCAAGGATCCAATTTTGGACCCCCCGTGTTTCTTGGTAACTCCCAGGGTCCCTTGTGCACCAAGGCCTACACAGAGACGCACATCTTTCCGACCTGCGAAAAACCCTCGTGCCCCGACAAAAACCGTGTGGGATTAGTGGACCAAAACAAGACACACCTCACTGCGACCGAGCCCTGGAAATCATGGGGTTTTAAGGGGAATCATCCCCAAATGGCCGCAAGATTCATCTTAATTCAGGTTAGTGAATTATTTTAATTTAGCCAGGATTATAATAGTGGATTAAAATATGACACTAATAGTGGATTGAGAACGTATCCTATTAGTTAAGTATATACATACAATAGGATACTATACTCCACATTATTCCACTAATCCACGAATACTAGTACTAAGACTAAAACATATAAAACGCATACTACTTGATTAATGCCAATGCTAACACATGCTTACACTGATACAAATACTATACCAGTACTATACTAGTAGCTGTACGACAGTAATACCATACTAGCACTATACTGGTACCATTACACTATTACACTAGTACCATACCGGTGCCTGCTGGTACTATCCTAGTGCTATACTAGTCTAGTGCTATGATATAAGACTATGCAGCAACAACTACAACAACAGCAACAACACCTACAACAACAGCAACAACACCAACAACAGCAGCAACAACAGCAACTACTAATACTACAACTACTAGTACTACTACTGTTACTAGTACTCGTACTAGAGTAGTACTGCTACTGCTACTGCTACTGCTACTGCTACTGCTACTGCTACTGCTACTGCTACTGCTACTGCTACTATACTAGTAGTATACCTGTGCTATACTGGTGCTATACTAATGCTGTGCTTGTACTCTACTGGTACTATACTACTATACTAGTGCTACACTGGTGCTACGCTAGTCTGCACTAGTCCTACACTAGTGCTGAACTGGTACTATGCAAGTATTATACGAGTACTCTACTATTACTATACTAGTGGTATCGTACTGCTGTACTACTATGTCAGTACTATATTGCCACTACAGTCGTATCTTACACGAACTATACTACACAAGTATATAGTACACTACTATATTATTACGATACAAACATTCTCCGCGGATTCTGTTTTTTTTTTTTCCGACTCGCAAAACACCGAGGTTTGAAGAGTTTACCAGCTTTGAGACCTACATCTTCGACTGTGATGGTGTCATTTGGGGTATCAGTTCCTCGGATTGGGCCACTGATGGGTTGGGGAAACTGCTGAGGATGGCTTAGGATTTCCGCATTTTTCACGAAGAAATCCTAAAATGATTCCCCCACCCAAAAAAAAACACTTGGTGAATGTAGTGGATTTCTGAAGTGGGGTCCGACGTTTTGAGACCGACATCATGCTCACAATGTGCTCCGTCATGTGAGGCGATGAAGACTCCAAGACTTCTGTGGCCACCGTGAACTACCTCTTGCGACTTCAGAAGCGGGTGATGTTTGTGACCAACAACTCCAACAAGACGAGGGCGCAATTTGTGCAGCAGACGCTCGATCCGGACGAGCCCCGTTTTTATCTCTGACCTTTGGGACAGGACTCCATGAAAGAATCACCAGAGTTTTTTATGGGGTTTCCTAAAATGGGGGTACCCCCCAACCATAAGTTTCAATACTATTTTGTGGTCATCCATGACTTGGATGATTTGGGGGTACCCAATTTAGGCCCTTGGAAAACTCCAAAAGATGATCAATGATCAATCTGGAAAAGTGAATGTTGCGACCTCACATTGCGACAAAATTCTGGACTTGTGGCTTTGTTTCTGGGGAAAACATGTAGAAATGGCCGAACTTTTCAGGTTATTGCATCATCAAGGTAGAAAACCTTCCGTTTCTGTTCCGGAAAGCATTTATAAAAGACACGTGTTGCAATGAACCATATTGATATAGCCTATGTATGTACATACGTACGTACGTACCAATGTAGGTATGTACATATGTACGTATATACGTATGCACGTATGTACGTAATGTGATGAAAGGTATTATTATGTACACAATGCATCACAAAGCAATACGAATATGAATATAAGTGTAACTGTAAAGTAATCTATATAGTGTAATGTAATGTGCTGTAATGTGCTGTAATGCATTGTAATGTCATGTATTTTTATGTAATGCAATGTAATAAAGCTATTCTATACTGTAGATGTAACATAAATGTAATATTGATATACGTGTAATAGAAATGTAATATGCATGTACTGTAATACAAGCGCAATAGAAATGTAATATATATATATGTCATATGAGTCCAATATAACATGTACTATAAATGAAAAGAAATGAAGTATGTCTGAATTACGGAGGACATATACATGCAATATACATGCAATATACATGTAATACATATGTGATATACATGTAATATTCACGTGTTATAAATGCAAATATACATGTAATATACATTATATATATATGAATGTAATATACACTTAATATATAATTATATATATATAAATGTGATATAAAATATATATATATGCATAATATATATATATATACATAATATATATATATATCTTTGCCTGTAGTATACATGTAGTATACGTGTAGTATACTTGTAGTATGCATGTAGTATAAATGCAATACATAATATATATATATATTATATTTATAAGTGTAATATAATATAGATGTAATGTACACATATATATATGTATATATATATATGTATATAATATTGCATGTAAAATAAATTTAGTGTAAATGTAAAATAAAGGTAATACAAATGTAATATAAAAGTTGCACAACTGTAATATAGATGTTATATAAATCCAATATACATGTGGGAATATAAATGTAATGTTAATGTAATGTACATGTAGGAAAAATGCAATATCAATGCAATATAAATGTTATATGGATATACAATATATAAATGTAAAATATATGCAATGTAAATAAAATCTAACGTAAAATTCAATGTACATGTAAACGTACATGATGCGTAATGTAATACAGTGTAATGTACTGTTCAGACTTTCTATCCAACATGCAATATTTCTGAAACAAAGCTGACCAGGATTTTCGAAAGTTATCCATGGTCTCCAGGATTTCGGAAAAAGGTTTCTGAAGCAATCTGAAATACGTCTTCAAAAATCTGACATGTTTCTGAAAACATCTGACATACCCTCTGGTAAACTGTTGCATAAGTTACATAACGAACTGGAAAGATCCACCATTTTTTCATGGGAAAATCCACTATTTCGACTGGGCCATGGCTTCAAGCTATCTTATTTTTTTGTGGCTAAGTCCAAAGATTTGCAGATCCTAGCCACCAAGATCCACCAAGAATGCAGGAGAACTGGCAGTTTTGCACCAAGAATGCACGGCTTGCCACTAGATTTTCATTGACTTTGGATTGTTTTCAATAGCAGGAACGCCTGATATTCAGCTAGTATTTCATGGTTTTGAACCTGGCGTTCATTGAATTTCCATGATTTTGAATCATTTTCGCAGCATTTCACATGTTTTCCGGAAAAAACAGAAATTTGTCCTTTAGTTTCACCGGGTCAAGTAGGATTTGAGTTGGATTTGGGCAGTTTTCAATGGTTCAGTGCCGAGAAAACATGGTATTTAGATGGTATGTCATGGTTTTGAACGGGGTTTTCATTGAATTTTGCCGGTTTTGAATTGTTTTTGAAGCATTTGAATTCAACAAAAATCCAGCGGGACACCTTGAACATAGCAGCAACGCAGCTAGCTTTCCTCCATGTTCGATCGCTAGGAGCTGAACATCCTTGGAGGAAAAGTCAGAAACATCAATGTAATGTGTAATGCAGTGCAACGTAAGGTAAACACAAATGTAAATGTAAGTGTACGTGTAAATGTCATACATATATATATAGTCTTGATTTTAATCTTAATTTTGATCTTGATCTTGATCTCAATGTAATGCAATGTCATGTCACGTCACGTGTATCGTTACATATATGTATGGATGCACATATAGATTTGGTGTATCGCATATTTGGTGTATAGTATGATATACATATGGTGTATGATCTATATCTATATCTATATCTATATTTAATATCTATATCTATATCTCTATCTATCTATCTATCTATCTCTCTCTCTCTCTCCATATTTATATATATATATATCTATGTACATGTACATGTACATGTACATGTACATGTATATGTATATGTATATGTATATGTATATATCTATCTAATCTATCTAATCTATCTGATCTATCTAATCTATCTAATCTATCTAATCTATCTAATCTATCTAATCTATCTAATCTATCTAATCTATCTAGTCTATCTAGTCTATCTAGTCTATCTAGTCTATCTAGTCTATCTAGTCTATCTAGTCTATCTAATCTATCTATCTATCTATCTACCTACCTACCTATCTATCTATCTATCTATCTATCTATCTATGTCTATCTATGTCTATCTATGTCTATCTATGTATATCTATGTATATCTATGTATATCTATGTATATCTATGTATATCTATGTATATCTATGTATATCTATGTATATCTATGTATATATCTATGTATATCTATGTATATATCTATGTATATATCTATGTATATATCTATGTATATATCTATGTATATATCTATGTATATGTCTATGTATATGTCTATGTATATATCTATGTATATATCTATGTATATATCTATGTATATATCTATGTATATCTATGTATATCTATGTATATCTATGTATATCTATGTATATCTATGTATATCTATGTATATCTATGGATATCTATGGATATCTATGGATATCTATGGATATCTATGGATATCTATGGATATCTATGGATATCTATGTATGTATGTATGTATGTATTTATGTATGTATGTATGTATGTATACATATATATATATATATCTATACACAAACGGGGGATCATACATCCAGCAAAAACAATTATTTTGATGTGAGCAGCTGCCGGTCCCAGGGTTTGTGACTCACAGTTTTTTTTCAATCCAGATTGAAGTTTGGGGATATTGAACATCACCCAAATATTGGGGATATTTCCTCTCCGATATTTCCTCTCCAACAGATACTTGTTTTGGTGATGTGAAACAAATCCCCAAAATGGGACATGACCAAAGCCTGTTTAACATGGCAGTGTGAAGTGGACTCAGGATATTTTGATCTAGGACTTGACTTTAACATCTCTACTGTGTTGTCACTAGTTCTTTTCAATATCGCCTGGTGACCTATCATGTCCTGTGATGACGATGCCAACTGACGAAGATTTTCTGGGCCCGTATGGGGCTTTTCTCTCCCATCCGCTTTGGAAACGGGATCTCAGTTCCCAAGGCTGGAAAGCAAGGGGGTGAACTTCGGCAATCGAAGTCAGGAAGAGAAGTTGAGCATGATGATAAGTCACGATCTCAGAGTAAGACCAATAATCAGGCCATAAGATGAAGGAAGGCCTCACCACTCAGCATAACTCATTGGGAAATCACCAACTGCAATGGGGAAACAGAAACCGAAAAGAATGGGTGGTGGCTGGCACATGTTTTGTTGATTATATGCAGGCGGTTAGATATTTTGCTTTGATGTTCTCAGGTGCCTCCTATACCACAGCGGCATTTCTTCAAGATTCTGGCCTCAAGCGTCCGTTCATCATCACTTCTGATACCGGAGTGCTGCTTGGCATTTCCTTCGAAGTGGGACAACTAGGTATCGAAATGTCACGACCTGTTACATTCCGGTCAAAGACATTTCAGGGAACGTTGCTGACATTTTGTCCGATTTTGGAGATTTTTGGAGAAAACCTGAGGCTGGAAGAGTGCAGAATGCTTGGCATCACAGATTACTTCGCAACCATCACTGATGACGGCAAACCAGGCAGAGCCCTGAAGATTGGCTGGTTTTTAAATGAGTTTTTTTGGGATCCGGGGATGAACAATTCAAAGGGCGAACTTCCATCAAGCCACATCAGTGAAGTCCCACTTTCCTTTTCATCCTGCTGAAGATCTCCATCCTGATGGCTAATCCCATTTTTGCTGCTTGATCCTTCCTTTTTAAAAGGCCAATCTCTGTATTCTCGTTTTTTGCTGATTATTTTGCTGATTATTTTGCTGATTCTCCCATCTCTGTTGGCATTTTAGGTGCTTTCGGCGCGTTTAAACCCCAAATTTTGCTGAACAAAGAATCCCCCATGAAATCCCTCAGTATCATTTACTACTGAAATTGGATGTGGCATAACTTTGTTGCTTTCCAACACCCAAAATGCCATACTGCCATAGACCTTGGGTTTGGTTCCCGCGGTGCCACCGTGGTGCCAGCTGCGCTCTTCCAAAAACTGGACATGTGCAGCGCCGCGGACGTGATCAAAGCGCGGCCCAATGTGGATTCCATCGTGGTAGGGTGGGAGACCCGCCAGAAGTTCTTGCTGGAACGTTCTTTTTCGTTTCGATTTTCATCCCCAAAGAACCATGAAATCCATGGGATACTCATTCAGGAGTGATAATTAGTTATTGTCGTGAAAAAATCTGTGATATGTTCAACCATCAGATTGCTAGCCAAGGACATGCAGCTCACGGCCCTGAAAGTGGCCACTTGGCTGTCGTGGGATATGCTCAGGGTTTGTGGCTGGGTTTTGTGGTACGGTTGAAGAATTTCCACATCTTCCCCTCATGGACCACAGATCGACTCGTCATGATGAACTGCAAACCACACCGGCGCGAGACTTTGGTCTATGGAGAAATCATCAAGATATATTCTGCTTGCCGGTGTACATGTATTATCATGTATTCACCTAATTCATGAGTGATTATTCCATTATTTGTTAAGAGGGATTATACATTTCTATATGAATTGTATATATAATGATGTAAAATTATATATAATTATATATATGTATATATTATTGTATATATAATTATATATATATGATTATATATGTATTTAATTACATATATCTAATATATATATATAATAATAATATAATATAACTATATTTATATGAATTATAACTTATATAATTATATATATATATATACATATATATATATATATGACATGTGTCTGTTTGAATTGACGATTCCCATGTTCACCCCAGCGCTTTTGTTGCCGTCACTATTGATAACATCACACTGCTAGGACCGCAAGGGGCTGACCAGCTTTTGGAGACTCACACTGACAATTTCCTGTGTTCTTTTTCCCCCCCCAACAGCGTAAGCTAATGGGGTCTTCAGCCCAGAATAGCTCCGGTGTGCACTGGTGCAGGCGCTGGGTCAGGTTCAACGAGGTTCCGGAGGTTCCGAAGGTTCCGGAGAAGGTCTGGCAGGCTTTGGTGCAGAGCCAGGTCACGTTCAACAGGGTTCTGGAGAAGGTTCCGCAGAAGGTTCTGGAGAAGGTCTGGGAGGCTTCGGTGCAGAGCCAGGTCAAGTTCAACAGGGTTCCGGAGAAGGTTCCGGTGAAGGTCGGGGAGGCTTTGGTGCAGAGCCAGGTCAGATTCAACAGGGTTCCGGAGAAGGTTCCGGAGGCTTTGGTGCAGAGCCAGGTCAGGTTCAACAGGTTTCCGGAGAAGGTTCCGGAGGCTTTGGTGCAGAGCCAGGTCAGGTTCAACAGGTTTCCGGAGAAGGTTCCGGAGGCTTTGGTGCAGAGCCAGGTCAGGTTCAACAGGTTTCCGGAGAAGGTTCCGGAGAAGGTTCTGGGAGGCTTTGGTGCAGCGCCAGGTCAGGTTCAACGGATTTGCGGCCATTTAACTCACGGAAACCCAGCTGAGGTGTTTCCAGCGTTTGGCCTCGTAGCACGATTTAGAAAGATTTGTAATTAAAAATGAGACGCTGCGGCTGTTGGGGATACCACCGAAGCTTATTGCTGTAGCCAACTTCCCATCACGGGTGCTTTGTTGAGTTTCAGCTCTTTGTTCGATACCTTGAATTTCGCTGAGGGCACTGCTGTGAACTATATCAAATGGCACGAAGATTTGCATGCAAGTGAACCTGGCTACAAGGACCGTTCCCAAAACCGGGGTGCTGGTTAGTGGGACTTTGACATTAATGTAGACTACTGCAGGCCAAACCAGAAGCTCATGAATTTGAGCCGCATAGCAAGGTAAACTTGTCACACGTTTCACGCACAAACAAGTGGCTTAGACGCAACAGAGTCGGGACTATGGTGACTATGGCTTCAGCTAGCCACCCTTTCGGTGACGAGGATTGGAGTACCAACCAGCAGATGGGCTAGGCATTTATAGAGGAAAACTCTCCAAATCTTGGGGTAGCAATGGCCATGGCTTTAGGTATTTTCACCCATTCAAACGGTGACATTTCCCATTCTTAATGGACCATGGACTTGGGGTTTAATATATAAATGACTATAAATGCTTCACATTGTCGAAACTGTACCTCTAAGAATTCTCATAAATAGACGCAAAATAAAGATATGTACATATGTACATGGTTCCTGTCAAAAATATATCAGATAATATCTCAAAAACACAGATCCAAACCATCCACAAGCCATTTTTATTCTCCAATAGTCAATTATGGCAACAGAAATCCTGAGTTTGTTCGATGGTTTTTCTAGCTGTAAACCTGCATTTAGTTCAGAGACTTTGTTTCATTGCCAAAGGGTATAGTACTTCCAAAAAAAACCGGAAAAGTGTTTCCCGGATGTTAGTTCCATGATATTTACTTCATGTTCGCAGCTTTCCCATTTTCCTATCACTATTGGTATCAGATTGGTATATATATATATATTATATATACTACATCAGCAAAGTTTTTTCCCCAACAGTTAGCTTAGGGGTCTGAGCCCAGATAAAGTTCGATGCAGTTTCCGGTGCGGGTTCCGGGCTGGTTCCAGAGGTTCCGATGCGGCTCCAGGTTTGAGGAAGGTCTGGTGCGGGTTTTGGGCTGGTTCCGGGAGCCAGTGCATGGTTCCAGGTCCCGCAAAGGCTTGACGTTGTTTTATTGTCACTTCAACTGTGTATTTGAGGTGTGCTTCTCCATCTTCTTCGCACGACGCACACACGCACACACACACACACACTTGCTCAGAAACGTCTTATCGAATTACTGATGTGGAATGCATCGGACGTGCAAAGACAACACAGTTAAACCTAGCAGGAGAAATGAATATATATATATATATAATAGGACTCCGGTGGCCACCAGCTGCGACTTATAATTGCGCCCAGGTGCACCACCGGAGTCCTGCAGGTACGTTTACACGGGTCCCGGGGAGGTGTCTTCGTTGGTCACCGACCCCCCCGGGACCCCGGTGACCCCCTGCAAAATTAGAAGTTTTACATCTATTCAGATGGTACACACACACGCCCCGCCACAGCGGGGCAAATGAGATGAAGATGAAAATGAAATGAAAGTGAAAATGGAATGAAAGTTACCTAACCAGGACGCGAAGAGGGGAACGCAAGAGAAGAGGGAAAGAGAAAACACCAACACAACACACCTAGCCCGAAACGGGCAAAACCCTGAAAAGGCAAGGAAAAAGAAAAGCGAAGGCCGACGGACACGCAACCAGACCAGCGGAGGAGGGGGAGGACGAAGCGCCTGAACCAACCTGACAAAGCGAAACCTAAGCCTACCTCGGCACGCGCAGGACCCAACCTACCTGAAGGGAGGAGAACGCAGAGACACATGAGAAAGGGGACCCATGGGGAACTAGTTAATTAAATGATGCAACCACTCTGACATGCAGTTTCCCCTCGTTAGGCTCAACGGCCAGAGTTCACGTCAACCCTATCGACGGCTGTCAGTATTCAAATGAATTACGTGCACAATTGAACCTCACCAACGACCAAAAAAGAAAGAAGTACCAAACCTGCAAGGATGTCCTGTTGCCTGTGAACTCATGTGAAAATGGCTGCGGAATGGCTGTCTCTTGAGAAAAAGAAGGATTGTTGTCGCGGCCTCAAACTATGCAGTGTCAATCCAAACGAATGGTGATTCCCTGGTACAGCGGGAAGCTGTTTCAACACTCACTCGACCGACGTGTGCAACAATGAAAAAAGGCCAGCAGTTCACTTGACTTAGACGAATTACTAATTCAAAAGTGTAAATTCAGACATCGTGTTACCGTCAATTGTTAGCCTAGAAAGGCTTTCCCCGAAGGGCTCAGACCACCTTGTCGGACAACGGTATGAGTAACACACTTGCTCAGAAACGTCTTATCGAATTACTGATGTGGAATGCATCGGACGTGCAAAGACAACACAGTTAAACCTAACAGGAGAAATGAAAAAAAAATATATATATGACTCCGGTGGCCACCAGCTGCGACTTATAATTGCGCCCAGGTGCACCACCGGAGTCCTGCAGGTACGTTTACACGGGTCCCGGGGAGGTGTCTTCGTTGGTCACCGACCCCCCCGGGACCCCGGTGACCCCCTGCAAAATTAGAAGTTTTACATCTATTCAGATGGTACACACACACACACTGTGGGACATTGCATTGGTTGAAAATGAAGTTGCGCTCCTTGCCAGGGTTGCAGTTGTTTCATGTTGTTTCCACATTTTCCCAAACAACTTGGCTGTTGGGGATACCAACCCTGGGTTTATTCTGTGGAAAAAATCCTCCGAAAACTCGCCGCTTGGGCCGGCGAGGAGATGCCCCTGATCGCCTGCTCCGGAGACACAGGGGGCGTCTTAGGGAAGACCAGCCACCTGGGTCGGGAGCTGAAACTTCGAGCCATTGGCGCCTTGGACGTCTTGGACGTGGGAAGTGTGGGGAAATGCAGGTTGGAAAAGATATGAACAGATTAAAAAAGAGATGGAATGATATAAAAAGCAACTGGAAGATGGGACTTTTCATGATCATGCCGATCATCATGATCATCATGATCATGATGATCATGATGAACGCAGTGGAAACACCACGATCATCAAAGTTCAGCGGATGCGACATTTGGAGCCACGGTTCAGCACGAGGCAACGGTGCCATGGCAGACATCATTGGACGCAGCTTTGACCCGCCCAAAGCGTGGGTGGACATGGGCAAACCTTCAGAAACTTGTCCTTGGAGGTTCATGGTTCATCATGAATAGTTCGGGGATTATGAATAGTTTGGTTTATATGATGTTACAGTACTGTTATAAAACAGTAAGCATTTTCTAAAAAAAATGGATGATAAAGGGTCCTGCTTATGTCAAGACCCCAACTTTGATCGTTCGCAAACAAAGATGGGGAGATCATGACGCGAAGCGAAGAATCATGATATATCATACTGGTTATGACTCACATAGCCATGGAAAATCACAATTTTTAAATAGGTAAACCATCTATTTCTATGGGCCATCTATACCATGGCTACGTTAGTCATAACCAGAGGGTGTCATGGCTGGTTTTCGGCGCGGTGAAATTTACGGGGATTCTGGTCGCAGACCTATCTGATCCCTCCCCTCTTTGTGTCTTCAACCAATACACAAAAAACTATTTATTCCCGCACGTGCGCTACGCCCCTCAGGTACTTCACTATATAAGTGATATATGGTTTTTGCAGGGTTTCTTTAGGGTTCATTTGGGGTGTTTTTAGGGTTAATTAAAGGGTTTTTCCTTGGGTTTTTGTAGGTTTTCTTTAGGGTTTATGATAATGTAAACAGTGTTGAAAACAGCGAACGGAGTTCAGCCGAATCCCCGCAGAGGGTCAACCATCATGTCCCTCAGCCTCGTGAGGGACATGATGTTTTTCTATGTTTTTCTACCATCTCAACATAGTGGAAGGCCACAAAGTACTGTAAGGCTCACCAAAAATGAGGTTCCCGACAATCATCCCAAAAGAGTTTGGGTAGCACAAGTGCTGGCCGTATTTATTCAGCTCCATGGCATGTCACAGAACACCATCGACCCTCAGGATGCCCTTCTGTTGCTCCTCCGAAGTCCACATGCCTACAATGTGGATCTGAGCAAGGCTCTCATGGTGCGTGACCCCAGTGATACTGCGATACCGCTCGTGATACCATTGAAAAAAGTGGCAGAATTTATTGCCAATAGGAATAGGATGGAATAGGGCCAAATCTATTGCCGGCCTAAAGCATGTCCTGGCTATGGAGGAGCATTTGGTATACTGAAAAAGTGTTTTTGTAGGTTGGGGTAGAAAAGATGCTGACATTGGCACTACATGGGATGAGCACGCCGCAGTGATGGGGCAGTTGTTGCTGAGAGGCGTCAAATCTTGAAACTACCGATAAATATGACTAGAAGAGGATGAGGAGAGTGATGCTGGGATGAGGATGACTGTGCCAGCGTTGTCTCAAGAGTCCTGAAAAGAACAGATGTGATTTCTGCATATTGCGATTTGATACAGCTCTGTACAGCTCCATTTCATCCACGGTTCCGTCATCCCGCATCGCCGGGGAGTCATGGAGGTTTTCCCCTGTTTCAAGGTCGGAGACACGCTGCAGACTGACATCGTCTTCGGAAACAGAGGAGGTCGTTGTGAAAGCTGCGGCTAAGGGTTGGTGGTTTCAAATCTCACATATACTTGTACTGAAAAATACTCCGGGTGGACTATATAAATAATATTCGACACAGATACAATGTATACATATATATATATATATTATATATTTGATATTATGGAGAGATGGATATGTGCATATATATATATATACATGTATGTATATACATATTCATACATATACAGTCGTACTTCTATTTATTCACTTAGATGCGTAATTTATCTCGCTTTTTCACATCTTTCTGATTCGGGGGTTCGTCAAATCGCCATCTCCAGGCATGAAGACCTTGTTGGTGTTGACGGGTGTTACCTCGCAACTTGAGTTGGATGAAGAGTTACGCGCCAGTGGACCCAGCGTTCGAAGGCTGGTTTGGGGTGAAACGTTTCATCGAATGGTCAGATGATCCCCTGGAAAGATTGGGAAATGGGACAACCAAGTCTGGGCTGAGTTGAGCTTGAGAATACCAATGGATGGTAGTGGCCTATTCACTGAAGATTCTTGACCCCCAAAACACCTTTGAATTCTTGAGGAACCTTTTTGACTCTATGTGATGTGGAGGTTATGGCATTTAGCCATTATATTCATTTCATTTTATACTCTATGATTCATTTATATCGCATTTGCATCCGATATATATATATACGTATATATATAAAACACACATATGTGTATATATATAATGTTATATATTCCTTTAAATCCCATTTATTTCCTCATTCAATCAAGAATGTCGATATACTACAGTATATACATAGTGTAATTAAAATCAATATGTATATATATATATATTATACACATGTACATGTACATCTACATCTACATACACATCCACCACCCACCCACCCACCCACCCACCCAGACGTACATAAGTACTTCGTACATAGATACATAGAGATAGACACATAGACTACACATAGACACATAGATAGCTAGATAGCTAGATAGATAGAAAGATAGGTAGAAAGATAGAAAGAAAGAAAGATGGATGGATAGATGGGTCGATGGATAGATAGAAAGATAGATAGATAGATGGATAGATGGGTCGATGGATAGATAGAAAGATAGATAGATAGATGGATAGATGGGTCGATGGATAGATAGAAAGATAGATAGACAGATAGATAGATAGATAGAAATACACATAGATAGACAAAATACACATTACATTACATTTGATTGCACTGCATTGCAGTGCACTGCGTTGCGTTGCCTTGCGTTGCATTGCATTACATACTGTACATAACATGCATATCTGTGTATGTGAATATATATACACACATTCATCTCTGTCTCTCTCTCTCTATAGAAAAAATGAATACGTGCATAGATGTAGATGAGATTGAGATTTAGCATAACTTCATCTCAAGGTGTTGTTTTCTAAACCTTTGTCATCTCCATCATGGCTTGTCACTTTTTCACGCCAGGCCGACCTATGTCTTGCCAAAGCTTGGTAGCTTTGTGGATTCGGGGCACATTGCCCGTGTGGAAAAGGTTTGACCGCAGCCAATGACTGCACGACGCGACTCCGGAGAAACCGATGGTCTGTCTGATCTTCAGCAGACTTCAGCGGATTCCGGGCATGGCTGGGGATGGTTTAATGCGATGGCTATGGATCAATACCTATACATACCATTTTTAATGGGATGAACATCCATTTACCAGCTATTTTGATGTGAACTACAGGGGTACAAGGTTTTGACACACTGCCAGATTGGTATCTCTGAGTTGCCTGTCAATGTGAATGTACACTTGAGATTTATGGCGATCCGGAGCGTCATCTTTCGACAGGGAAACTGTGGTAGGTTAATAGTGCTTAATATATATGTTGATATGTTCTAGATATACCATTATTAACAATTGTAGGTCCATGGTTAATAATTACAATGGTTGATAGATATATATATATATATATTTTATATATATATATACCCATTAAAAATGGATTTGCAGTGGATTTACCCATTAATAGCCTGGTGATTTTCCATAGTTATGTAACAGTTTACCAGAGGGTATCCATAATTCTCTGGCAATTTAACATAGCTATTGAACATGAACATAGCACGTGATCTTACAATGAGGACCTGGGGATGCCAAGGCAACTGACGTTCTGGGCTCGGGAGGTGATGATACAACAGAATTCTCTGAAGGTGAATGGTCCGGAAGATGGTAATCCGCAATCCAGGGACCATATATAATATAATTATGTATATAATATAATTATGTATATAATATAATTATGTATATAATATAATTATGTATATACAGTCACCGACAGAATTTTGGAAATGAAAAAAGGTTCGCGCGCCGCAGGTATCGGAAAAGGTTCGGGACCGAAACCAAGACAAAAGATTAGCGACATTACGGACTTTCAAAAAAAAGAATTTTGGAAATAGCAATTTTCGGATCCTGATCCTCTAAAAAGAAAAAAAAAGTGAGACAAATGTCTACAAAAGCCTCTAATCCACGATGCAAAATTAATTTTGGAAATCTTACTTATCGGATCCTGATCCTTCAAACTACCTGGTTTTGATTGTTTTTGCAGGATCTTGGGACAAAATCCAGATTCGGTTTTGGGACCCTTATCCTCCAACTTGCATGATTTTGGGACAAAATCCAAATTCAGTTTTGGGACCCTTATCCTCCAAACCACCTGGTTTACAGCAAATTTGCATGATTTTGGGACAAAATCCAGATTCAATTTTTGGATCCTGATCCTCCAAACATCTCCAAACCACCTTGTTTACAGTTTATTTGCATGATCTTGGGACTAAATCTAGATTCAGTTTTCGGATCCTGATCCTCCAAACCAGTTGCTTTACAGCGTATTTGCATGATCTTGGGACTAAATCTAGATTAAGTTTTCGGATCCTGATCCTTCAAAAAAAAGGATGAAACAAATGTATACAAATGTCTACAAAAGCCTCTAATCCACGATGTAAAATTAATTTTGGAAATCTTACTTTTCGGATCCTGACCCTCCAAATTACCTGGTTTTGAGTGTTTTTGCATGATTTTGGGACTAAATCCAAATTCAGTTTTGGGATCCTTATCCTCCAAACCACCTTGTTTACAGTGTATTTGCATGATCTTGGGACTAGATCTAGATTCAATTTTCGAATCCTGATCCTCCAAACCAGCTGGTTTACAGCGTATTTGCATGATCTTGGGACAAAATCTAGATTCAGTTTTCGGATCCTGATCCTTCAAAAAAAAGGATGAAACAAATGTATACAAATGTCTACAAAAGCCTCTAATCCACGATGCAAAATTAATTTTGGAAATCTTACTTTTCGGACCCTGATCCTCCAAACTACCTAGTTTTGAATGTTTTTGCATGATTTTGGAACTGAGTCCAGATTCAGCTTTGTTATCCTTATCCTCCAAACTACCTGGTTTACAGCGTATTTGCATGATCTTGGGACTAAATCCAGGTTCAATTTTGGGATCCTGATCCTTCAAAAAAACAGGATGAAACAAATGTATACAAAATCTTCTAATACACGATGCAAAATTAATTTTGGAAATCTTACTTTTCGGATCCTGATCCTCCAAACTACCTGGTTTACAGCAAATTTGCATGATTTTGGGACAAAATCCAGATTCAGTTTTTGGATCCTGATCCTCCAAGCATCTCCAAACCACCTTGTTTACAGTTTATTTGCATGATCTTGGGACTAAATCTAGATTCAATTTTCGGATCCTGATCCTCCAAACCAGTTGCTTTACAGCGTGTTTGCATGATCTTGGGACTAAATCTAGATTCAGTTTTCGGATCCTGATCCTTCAAAAAAAAGGATGAAACAAATGTATACAAATGTCTACAAAAGCCTCTAATCCACGATGTAAAATGAATTTTGGAAATCTTACTTTTCGGATCCTGACCCTCCAAACTACCTGGTTTTGAGTGTTTTTGCATGATTTTGGGACTAGCTCCAAATTCAGTTTTGGGATCCTTATCCTCCAAACCACCTTGTTTACAGTGTATTTGCATGATCTTGGGACTAAATCTAGATTCAGTTTTCGGATCCTGATCCTCCAAGCCAGCTGGTTTACAGCGTATTTGCATGATCTTGGGACTAAATCTAGATTCAGTTTTTGGATCCTGATCCTTCAAAAAAAAGGATGAGACAAATGTCTTCAAAAGCCTCCAATCCACGATGCAAAAATAATTTTGGAAATCTTACTTTTCGGACCCTGATCCTCCAAACTACCTAGTTTTGAGTGTTTTTGCATGATTTTGGAACTGAGTCCAGATTCAGCTTTGTTATCCTTATCCTCCAAACTACCTGGTTTACAGCAAATTTGCATGATTTTGGGACAAAATCCAGATTCAGTTTTTGGATCCTGATCCTCCAAACATCTCCAAACCACCTGTTTACAGTTTATTTGCATGATCTTGGGACTAAATCTAGATTCAGTTTTCGGATCCTGATCCTCCAAACCAGCTGGTTTACAGCGTATTTGCATGATCTTGGGACTAAATCTAGATTCAGTTTTTGGATCCTGATCCTTCAAAAAAAAAGGATGAAACAAATGTATACAAATGTCTACAAAAGCCTCTAATCCACGATGTAAAATGAATTTTGGAAATCTCATTTTTCGGACCCTGACCCTCCAAACTACCTGGTTTTGAGTGTTTTTGCATGATTTTGGGACTAGCTCCAAATTCAGTTTTGGGATCCTTATCCTCCAAACCACCTTGTTTACAGTTTATTTGCATGATCTTGGGACTAAATCTAGATTCAGTTGTTGGATCCTGATCCTCCAAACCAGCTGGTTTACAGCGTATTTGCATGATCTTGGGACTAAATCTAGATTCAGTTTTTGGATCCTGATCCTTCAAAAAAAAGGATGAAACACATGTCTTCAAACGCCTCTAATCCACGATGCAAAAATAATTTTGGAAATCTTACTTTTCGGACCCTGATCCTCCAAACTACCTAGTTTTGAATGTTTTTGCATGATTTTGGAACTGAGTCGATTCAGCTTTGTTATCCTTATCCCCCAAACTACCCGATTTACAGCGTATTTGCATGATCTTGGGACTAAATCCAGGTTCAGTTTTGGGATCCTGATCCTCCAAAAAAAACAGGATGAAACAAATGTCTACCAAAGCTTCTAATCCACGATGCAAAATTAATTTTGGAAATCTTACTTTTCGGGTCCTGATCCTCCAAACTACCTGGTTTACAGCAAATTTGCATGATTTTGGGACTAAATCCAAATTCAGTTTTGGGATCCTTATCCTCCAAACCACCTTGTTTACAGTGTATTTGCATGATCTTGGGACTAAATCTAGATTCAGTTTTCGAATCCTGATCCTCCAAGCCAGCTGGTTTACAGCGTATTTGCATGATCTTGGGACTAAATCTAGATTCAGTTTTTGGATCCTGATCCTTCAAAAAAAAAGGATGAGACAAATGTCTTCAAAAGCCTCTAATCCACGATGCAAAAATAATTTTGGAAATCTTACTTTTCGGACCCTGATCCTCCAAACTACCTAGTTTTGAATGTTTTTGCATGATTTTGGAACTGAGTCCAGATTCAGCTTTGTTATCCTTATCCTCCAAACTACCTGGTTTACAGCGTATTTGCATGATCTTGGGACTAAATCCAGGTTCAATTTTGGGATCCTGATCCTTCAAAAAAACAGGATGAAACAAATGTATACAAAATCTTCTAATACACGATGCAAAATTAATTTTGGAAATCTTACTTTTCGGATCCTGATCCTCCAAACTACCTGGTTTACAGCAAATTTGCATGATTTTGGGACAAAATCCAGATTCAGTTTTTGGATCCTGATCCTCCAAACATCTCCAAACCACCTTGTTTACAGTTTATTTGCATGATCTTGGGACTAAATCTAGATTCAATTTTCGGATCCTGATCCTCCAAACCAGTTGCTTTACAGCGTGTTTGCATGATCTTGGGACTAAATCTAGATTCAGTTTTCGGATCCTGATCCTTCAAAAAAAGGATGAAACAAATGTATACAAATGTCTACAAAAGCCTCTAATCCACGATGTAAAATTAATTTTGGAAATCTTACTTTTCGGATCCTGACCCTCCAAACTACCTGGTTTTGAGTGTTTTTGCATGATTTTGGGACTAACTCCAAATTCAGTTTTGGGATCCTTATCCTCCAAACCACCTTGTTTACAGTGTATTTGCATGATCTTGGGACTAAATCTAGATTCAGTTGTTGGATCCTGATCCTCCAAACCAGTTGCTTTACAGCGTATTTGCATGATCTTGGGACTAAATCTAGATTCAGTTTTTGGATCCTGATCCTTCAAAAAAAAGGATGAAACAAATGTATACAAATGTCTACAAAAGCCTCTAATCCACGATGTAAAAATAATTTTGGAAATCTTACTTTTCGGATCCTGATCCTCCAAACTACCTAGGTTTGAATGTTTTTGCATGATTTTGGAACTGAGTCCAGATTCAGCTTTGTTGTCCTTATCCTCCAAACTACCCGATTTACAGCGTATTTGCAATGATCTTGGGACTAAATCCAGATTCAGTTTTGGGATCCTGATCCTCCAAACATCTCCCACTGATGCTACTGCAGCCATAATCATGCACTGTAGCCATGGC